CCCCCCCCCCTGACGAATTCTTAAAAAATGCCCAGGATTAGTTGTGGCTCCAAGCATCATTTACGATTATTCCAGACATGAGTAGCGGATATATCATAAGAATTGGGTCATGACTGATATAGGATTGGAGGGTAATTATGACGTCATCCATACCAGAATATTTTCATCTTGGCCACTCCTTCGCCCAGCGGCTACGCTCGTGTTCCAAGATCCGCCATGTAAAGTGTAGTGAAATGTATCTCATCGTAATATTAAATCCTAAGAAAACTAAAGCCTCTGAGGAGGAGAGAGCTCCCCACGTCTTATGAATTTAGTTCAACAGCATTAATGTAAAATTGTCTTTCTTCTAATAATACTTTGAATATTTTGGCAATTTTAAAAAATTCTGTCAATCCAAAAATTTGTCATGAATATAATCACAGTGTGCCACATAATTTTGTGAAATAAAATTTTGAGGTCGCCGATGCCGTTTCCAATTAAATTAAGGTAAAATATCTGTGATCCTCGAAATAATAGACCTCTATTATTTATATGGCACAGATTCGTGGCCAAGTTAGCGCTTTGAAAAATTCAAATTGCTAGTTAACAAGGGGACATGTATATATACACTATAGTACACGAGTTAGTCGGAAAGTACGAAAATATGTATACCTATATGATAAAGCTAACAAATTGTGATTTGTGCATACCTTCAACTGGAACCTCTGTCAACCATGCGAAGCTTTGTGCTGCTTCTTCACTGACCCCGCTGTTCTTTAGACGCTTAATAATCCATTGTATGATTAACCTGCAGGATCGTAAATCTTTATCTCTTGTACGGACTAATATGGCATTGCCGTTTCCACCTAATTCTTCACCAATGGGATGGGTATCAACTATGAAGAAGGAACCGTTGTAAATTCCGACTAAAAACGTATAAGGGGCGCAAGTATACAATCCGACGGATTTCTTCGTGCGAGTCAGCTTTTCATTGGCGAGGGCATTAATCAGTTCCTTTCGTCCTAATTCTGTAAAAACACCGTAATTAGATACACACTCTTCTGATAACTCGTAATTTCCTTCAAGAAGATTGTTGGATGTTAGAATAGTTTTAGCAATAATCGGGTCGTACTTTTCGGAAGAATTTCTCACACTGTTTATTTTTGCTGGGAGCGTCTTTATCATTTCCTCTGTAATTCTTTCCAATTCTTCCCATGAAGGTACACGGTCGTCGGGACTTTCATTCCTTTTAAAAATGTCACAAATTTTCAATGCCAAAAAAACGCACGCGTTTGTTCCGTCATTGTGTGGAAATTCGTGATCCATTTCCAACAAATCACTTGTGTTATATTGAATTCTATGCGCAACGTCAGAGTCGGCGTTTTCTAGTGCGGTGTTCTGGCTGATGCTTTTAAGCTTAAAAGCCTTTGACGATTAAAGACTCCTCTGGATCTTCAACGTTCAATCCTTGTGCAATTTCAGAAATTGCTGGCCTTTCATTCGGGTCAAACTTTGCGCACGAGTTAAATATTTCCTCAATCTGCAACCATAGTGTGACTCGGTGTAACTCGTATTTCGCGTCATGGGTGGGAAATAATTGGCTTTGCATGAAGGATTTCATGATCTCCATAGTGAGCGGGCTACCTAATGCATCTGCTTCTTTATAGTATGGGTTTATTAAATTTGGGTTGATCACAGCGTACGCTAGGATGCCAAGGGACCAAATATCCGGGGATTTTTAAGTCGATCTGGTTTGCACTTTTCAATATGCCCAGATGAATTTCGGGAGCCATATAAACCGGTGTGCCACGAATTATTTCTTCCGTACGAGACTGTAAAATCGATTGCGTTTGGGCGTCTAGCGATCTACTTAAACCAAAATCCGTCAGCTTGCAAACAACCGGGCATTCTGCATAAATGTGCGAAACGGATTCTTTGTCTTTGTGGCAATAATGCTGGTTGGTTATTAACACGTTGTTCGCTTTCAGATCTCTGTGCGCGATATCACGCTTGTGTAGATATTCGAGGGCGTTAACAACATCTTTCACGCAGACAACGAGAACATCAGCAAACGAGTCAAAGTTCCATTCATCATCAACAAAATGGCAGAAATCTTCGAGGTTGCTAACTTGTTTTTCAAGTCCGAATGGTTGGAAGTCAAACATTACGTACCCATCATGATTGCATAAGGACTATCCGAAAAGCCGAGACGAGAAATGCAGGTATATCTGCATGCGTAATTCCAAGAAGCATTTTGGCTTCTTTTATAAAGCGGCTTTTAGCGTCACCAGATTCGCTCTTAAGCTTCTTTATAACCACGGTCTTCTTGTCTTTTCCATATGTCCCGCAATGGACGGAACCGAAAGTGCCACTACCGAGCTCTTCTACAATTTTAAGTAATTTCCAATCAAATGGAGGCAGACCATGATCTATTCGCCTTCGCTTTATTAGCGATGGCATTTTAAAGCTTCCATGCACTCCAGACAAAATGAATGGCAGCAGGAAAAAGCGACTGGCAAACGTGTTACCGCTATTATATTTGACAATCACAATCAAAGCAATGAAATATCATATTACATCAATGAATGGCAGCAGGAAAAAGCGACTGGCAAACGTGTTACCGCTATTATATTTGACCAATCACAATCAAAGCAATGAAATATTATATTACATGCAAGTGCCAACAAAAAATGGCGACAATGCATACCGAAACTCTTTAATTTAGCGGCTATTATTACACATTCGCTTTAGTTTATATCCTGCGTGAAGTTTACATTAAATGCCCGTTTAAAAGTATTAAAGTGGGGTTTTTTCACGACTTCGTGTCCCGCAATTTTGGTGTGACGTCAAACTTTCGATTAAGCTTCATTTTCTTTTATTGCATAAATTGTAAATTGAATAAAATTTTTATTTAATTTTTTATAAAATTTTTATCGTATTCCCCGATTCCCGGTTCCCTGTTTTAAAGATAGCCGCCTTTGCCATGCAGAACACATTTTTGAAATAATAGTGAAATGCAACAAAAACATTCGGCGTGTTGAGATAATGACGTCACATCCTCTTCAAAACGCCTTCTCGCAACACCGCGGAAAAACGTCTGCGCATGCACCAAATTATGAAAATATGGCGGGGAATTTGAATATCAATTTCTAAAACAAAAACATGCTTATTAATTGGTCAAAAATTAGCAAAACAAACGAGAAAATATAGCAAATGGGTAGACTAGACATTAATTGAAAGCGTCCTGGCATTTAAAGTATGGAATGAAATATAATTCATGTAAAAAATTGTTGATTTAACGGACACGACTTCGAAAATTTTTGCAAAATTATTCAAAACAAAAATTCAAACTAAAAAGTTAAGAAAACTCTCGAAAAGTTAAGCTTCTTAACCCACTCAAATTGTAGAATAAATCCTAAAGTTTAATTATTGTGAACACGCAAATTTTTTATATTTGGCGACACAGTTTTTTTAAAGAAATGTATCTGACACGAAAATTCGGAAATTGTCATTGCTTAGTTGATAAACAAAATGTTTCAGACGATAAATTTGTCAACAATCACCTTTAATTCATGTTCTTGTACAATACAATTTCTTGAACCTTCTGGCTGTATTTATTTCTAGTTTTTAGAATGGCATGTTTATTTTTGCGCTTGAAATCTGGCTGTAAAGACGCACAATGAAGTCACTCCTTTTTACCGCCATTTTGAGCCTTCGGAAACGTTCGGAACAGCTTCTCATCTGTTCGCAATACTATTACAGGTAAGGTTGACGCATGCGCAGACGTTTTTCCGCGGTGTTCCTTCTCGCTTAATTGGGTGCGTTTAATTGCGGCCGTAAAATTGGCAATTAAGAATCGTAAAACAGTCAGAAGATGAAAGAATTTTGCCTTGAACTTTGGTAAGAATATCAAGCATACGTTATATTTCTGGGCTCGGTTGTATAAAAACGTTGTATGAAAACTATGATTAGCGTTAATCATTGTAGTTAAATTCTTAAATCTTAACAATGATTAGTTAACTGTGCGACTTAATTGCGTTGCACAAAACGTAGTTTGTCGGATGATTAACTAATCACGTAATTAACTTGCGTGGGGCTTGCGTGGGGTGGTTAAACAGTAAAATTACATAAAGTAAAGGTGATTAACGACCGCTTACAAGCATTTTTAACATGATTGTGGCCTCGCATTTTGCAAATAGGCGGGAATATTATTCAAAATAGAAAAAATAAACAGAAAAACAAGGAAAAATCAACGAAGAAGGCCGTTTTTACTTGAGATGTCTACATTAAACCAAATTGTAACTGTTTGGCAATTATATATCATGTTTCTTCGTGTAATGGGCCCTATTTTTACGTCGTATTCGAGAAATCTTCCCGTGCAAAAATATTTTTTGTTTTCGCCAAAAAACCAAAGCGATAGCGTTTCAAGACGGTTTATATTGTCAGGAAACAATCACAGGGAAGATAGTGATCGAAAATCCCAGGTAAGAATTGCTTTTCATTATTGTTTTACTGAAAAATGTTGTTCACTACTATAGGCTACAAGCGCCATTTTTAACTATGTTTGAGAAGTTAACGATACCCTAAAGCATCGTTAACTTCAACTACGATTTAACTACAATTAACGCTAACTACTTTTTTATACAACCGAGTTAACTACGTGATTAAAGTTAATCACTATTTAACTACAAAATAGTGATTAAAAAGTGATTAAGAGTTTTATACAACCGGCCCCTGGATTATGAAAAAAAATTAATGATAGTGCCACTTTAATAAATTAACCAATAATATAGTATTACGACGTGAATTGCCATATGTGACAAGAAAAAAAAAGCAAATCTATTACGGGTTGAACTAACGCCCCAAGCTTATGCCAAAAATTGCTGAATGACCAACTGAATGGGCTCCCTACATATTGGGCAGGGGTCTCTTCTTTGTTCCAGTTTCCTTGCGCAGTCAAGGCAACAGCACACGTGGCCAGTTCCGCCATGAATTATTGTGGCGTCTTTCGGTTTCGTCAGACAAATGATACACATTGCATCACCTTGAATCGGAGCTGAACCATTCACAGCTACTAAATCCTCTTCCGGTGACGTCACAGGGTATCCCGCTGCAGTTGTTCCTATTGCGCCTCGATTGCAGAAATTGTTTGGACGTCGCGGGACTAGTAAAAATATAATAAGACACAAACAAGGTCAGGAATCTCCATGGAGTCTCAGTGGACAAACGATTATGTAAATGCATAATTTTTCAGGCTTCTATACGATAAAAAATGTTAATAAAGTTTATTCAATTTTTTACGTGCGCATACTGTGTTTTCCAAATCAACGTCCAACTAAACCAGAACAATATATACTATTGGTGATTGAACACCTATTATCACCCCCCCCCGAAATAAAATTGAGCATACTGAAATGGTCTGCTGCCGCTGTTCTACAAATCAAGGAAGAAGAAAAGAACCCATCTATGATCTAGTTGCTAAATCCTCTTTTGACTAAACCTAGGTTGGTTGATTGAACACCTATTATCCACCCCCCCCCCCGTCTGAAACAAAATTGAGAATACTGAAATGTTCTCATTTTTCTAAATAGTTTTCATGATGATTAGTATAACTGATTTTCATATCACACTGTACATTATACAAGTAATGAATGTTTATGAGTGCAATGGTAAGAATATTTTCATGAGGTGAAAGATGGAATGAATTAGCACACAGCGTCGCCAAGTCTCGAATACTCGCGTTTAGATGAAAGAAGCGACTGAAGACAAGCTGTCGGTACAAATGGAAGCAATCTCCAATGTTTTCGAGAGCTTCAAAGACATCGACCCACTACGCCAGATCAGCAAGGAACTTTTGCAAGAGCAGTATGTTATGCTTGCGCAGTGGGCAACTTGCTACTTTGACGTAGTTGGTGTAGACTCCATGGATCTGTGGGCAATACTCTGTAAGGTAAAGTTATAGACGAAGCATGCACGAGAAATTTGGGAACTGATTGAGCCGTGTCTCTGCTGTACATATACGGCAATTCAGTCTGCGAGTCGGTCATCTCATACCTGCGTGTAGTTAAGACTGACTAGCACAACAAGTTGAACGAAAGCAACTTGACTGATTTGATGCGAATTAAAGTGACAGGTCCAACCCTCCATGTTTTACATGAGCATTTCTGTGAGCTTGCTGTGGACCTCTGGAACAGTGACAAATCACGGAGGAAAATCCAAGAAAGACGAAAACAGTATCCACCAAGAGAAAGCGCATCAAAGAGGACAAGAGAGGGAGGAATTCATAAGGGATTGGCTGAAAGACGTTGGAGCTGAGGACGAAGAAGAAGAATCTAAGAGTGATGGAGAAGTGGGAGTTGTAACACTCCCACTTTATACATATACATATACACACATGTGAGTACAATCTGCAGACATGCATGTTTCGGCGTTCTACGCCTCCGCAGTGCAGCTTGGTACACGTCCGGTTACGCGGTTACAAAAACACACATATACAGAAATGCAGTTCTTAATAATAACATCAATAAGACATGTCGAAACTTGCAGTTGGCAGTACACATGTAACACACAGAATCAGTAAACGTAACCTTGGCTCACCATCTGACGCCTTATAGCTCAATGGTTAGAGCGTAGCAGCTTGTGGAATATGTGACTATTCAAATGATGAAAGTTATTGTTGTTTTTTAAGCGTTTATTAGCGAGTGGGAACTACCAATATGGCCGCCATCTATTCAAATAGGGGTAACCGCTAGAATATTCTTGGCTTCAATTTTACTAAAAGAGATGCGCTATCTAGTTTATATAAGATATCTATGGGTACAACACGACTACATCAACGCATCCGGACATGCGCAGAGTGTAATGGGGCCAGAGTGCTTAAACGACCAGAAGGGAAGTGAGCTTTGCATTATCGCTAATATATATTATACGAAACGCAAAGAGTGCTCAATATCATAAAGATAGAGCAAATGTAGAATTTCGCTTACCTCAAAATTCCGCAACAGTCTGTTTCATCAGTAAAGAATCATTCTTTACTGATGAAACA